CGGAGGCAGAAGTTGTACTGGACTGCGATCCTGTAAGTGAGATTCGTATTAGATTTCATTTTTTTAAATTTCGAAAAATAAATGCCGAGTTGTGTCGTAAAATTATACATTCCATAAATTTTACTGCACTTCACCATTGACAACAATGTACATCAATTAGCTCCTTCAACGTAGTTATGAATTAATATAAAACTTGATGAGTGGATAAACGTCAAAATGGCCATCATAGCGTGCCGGTACTACGATACTAGCCGGTACTAGCGTGCCGGTATTAATGATATGCCAGAACATGTTAAACAAAAGACGGTCCTCACAGACGATACTTCTGTAATAGTCAAAGTTCAAATAATCATAAATGCGAATCAAGGCTAAACAATGAGTGCATTGTTACTACACTAAGCGTTAATGATACTGTTAAATAGCAACAAGAAAATAATCTCGTAGTGAATTGAGATAAGACAAAATTTATGCAATTCTATTTGCTACTATCGCTATCTAAATCTTAATAGTGAATTACCATGGACAAAGCTTGATGAGATGTTTGAGCTCTTGATTGTTACAGTCGTATATACTAAATTTAGTAAATATATATGTACCTACATGTTCATAAATCTTTCAATAATTACATCAAATAAGCGACAAATATTTACGTTTCGCCAATATACCTTCGTACTAAAAATTCATGTGAAAAGTGTTGATAAAATTAATATTTTTAATAAACAGCTCCAAAACTGTTTTGTACAAAAGTGCTACTACAGTTTGAACGAATTCTTAGATGATAAAATTTGGATTAATTAAAAATCTTATAAATACATAGCCGTATTAATTAAGTAAATGGTAGTGTAGTTAGTATACATTGATTGTTACAGAAATTTGTCTTTATTTATAGAAGTACCCTCTGCCCTTCTTTGCTATGCCTTTGCGGGGTATCACATAAATATTATATAATGGTGGCACTTCACATGGTTATTTGTATTTGCGTGTTTAATAGGTATATTTGGTTAACAATCACCATGTGTAGATGGCATGTGTGACAATGTATATGCCTTGTTTGCCTATTTGACAAATACGGCAAATACCGAACTCACGTTACCGTGCGCTGGTCGGTTTCTCTACGCACGTCAAAGTATCTCCAAATAGGCAACTACGCAACGCGAAAACCGTTCACACTACGGTCATATTATTAATTTTTTTAGTTCCCTGGTTGGCTTCATGTCTACGCGGTCATATTTGTCAGTGTTTGTGTTTCTTTGTACGTCAAATATTTTTCCAAGTTCATCATACACTCAATAACGAATACAAGTAGCCATGTGAACTGCCGCCATAATAAAGACTGATTCGTTTATTCTTAGGATCTTAATAAATAGTGCTATAAATTTAATGGAATTAAATCGGCGCTCTCAGGATATCACGTGTTTGTGGCCTTTAATTTCTGTTTTGCGCTGTAATCCTGAGATAACGTTGCTGCATAGTACCTTTATGTAGCCACTTTTAGAACGTAAAAGAAGCACCATAGTACAATACTTGGATCACTCCTGAAAAGTTATCATTTTGCGGATGTGGCCTTATTCTCTATCTACAGGTAAAAGATACTTTATAACCGAATGTTAAGGAGAATAAATGTTACACTTAGAATATATAAAAAGTTCATACTCCAAAATTACAAATAACCAGAAATAGGCAGTAGGTTAAAACCCAAACAACCTACACGGGTTTTAACTGGGTTTTTACTCAAAGCTGTTTTAACCTATTTCTTTCCAAAACAATGAAGAGAAACATTATATACGCGTAAAATAATACGGAAATTGGTATACTTCCATGCTTATTACAAATTTCGATGCAAAATCTTTATTGAACGAAAAAGAGGTAACTCCACACAGTACCTTGCAGTCCTGTGGACTTTCCCTTACTGCTAGGGATGCACATTACGATTCTTGGAAATTGATGCAAATGTATATGATAACGAGTTTTTGTATCGATTCATTTCAATGTGTTTATCCAGTAAATCGATTCTATAGAAATTTTGTCATAATATCATTAATTATTCATTTGAATAAAACCTTTACCCGCGCAACACAACATACACATGTGTATACATATTTGTATAGGAGAACAATAACCAATTATGAATACATGTTTCTCAACTTTACACATTGCATTGAAAATGTCAATAAATGTTTTCGTATTCAAATCTATTCATTACATTAGACAGTCTCTTCACACTTTCGTGACAAAATGTCTCCACAATGGTATTTACATAAAGTTCCGTATTCTGTTAATGTAGGTACACACACCTTCTCCGTGGTCTAACAAAACCATTTCTCAATTAGTTAGAATAGTGTCCCTATATTTTTACTCCATATGACAATTAACGTAAAAAAAAAACATTTGAGTAGGTACAGAAAATGACTATGGAATTGAATTAATTACATTAACAAATACAATTACAAAGTCAGGTCATTCAATTCCGATATTAATGATTTTTAACAAAAATCAGTGTTCTTACAAGAATTCTAAATTAATTTAGATTTCTGTGTACTGGCTCGAATTTTGAAAATCTAGTGACAGAATTCACGTGCGGATGACAAAAATTTGTATTTAATATTCACAAGAAATGGTGTTACGCCCATGCTACGCCGAAATTATTTTCAAATAAAATAAATTACATGTCTGCTCTTAAGATTCTATTTTCAAATCCTTGGAGTATGGTTGGACCATTTATCAGTAACCACCTAAAATATTTTCTTAAAAAACTTCGTGCTTTTTAACTTCTTAAGTTTTCGCGATTACTACACATTGGAAATGGTTTTTTTTTTCGATCTAAATTGAGTATAATTGTTTTTTCAAACATACTAAAGGTTCGTGCGACTGTTATTACAACTTTATACACAAAATGTATGTTTGAAAGTGTCGATGTCACATAATAAACCTATAAAAATCTATAAGAAAACTTCATAATCATGAGTGTTGTTTTTGTCTTATAATCTCTCACGACGTATTCTTTAGTAACGCTTATCGTATTTCTTAATTTTATACTGTGATAAAACCGTGCTACTCACAATAGATACTAAGTCAGTTGTCGCTACTTCTCACACTGTTTATACTACGTGTCGTGGGTAAACATTTTTTATTGGACAAATTTCCTTTTAATAACTTTATATGAGAATTATTAAATTAACCATTTGAAAATGGAACAATGAATAAAATTCCTAAATCTATTATTAAAATTGAAATTCGAATAGTGCCAATTTAATATTCCGCCTTGGAATATCAAATTGGCTCTATTTGAATTTCAAAACCAACTTTTAGTTGAAAAATGAAACAATTGCCGATCATGTCGCGTTCAAATGTTTCCTGGGGGCTTACCATAACCTTTCCAAAAATAATCTTATTTTAATGTAAGCTTAAAGTAAGCTTATTGTAATATTACTCATATTCGTACCATGACGAACCTGTCAATCAAGTAATGTATTATTGCAAAAGTTATTGAATAACGAATGATTTCCCAATATTGTCTATTCTTTACTAAAAATAGGAAAGAGATAACGCCATGTGAACTATATAATGCAACTATTTTAAGATTGCTAAATTTGACATAAGAGCAATATTACTTCAATGTTTAAGTCGCGTCATAGTGCGAACTGAGTGAATAAATAGTCACAAAGCTGCCAATAAAACATCATAGTTTTAACATTACAATAAGCTTACTTTAAGCGCGTTATGGTACGAAAGTCAATGTAAGGTTAAAGTAATATTGTTTTAAGAGGTTGTGGTAGGCCCCCTGAACAGTATAAATATTTTAGCTGGAAAAAGAGTTTAGGAGTCCATATTCGTAGTTGATTTTTTAAATGTGTTACGTTTTAGTAGCAGTAGAGCTCCTTGTGAAAGAGTTCGTCCAGGCAAGTACTGCCACCTTACCTATTTCTGCCGCCAAGCAGTAATGTGAGCATTACTGCGTTCCAGTTTAGAAGAACAAGGGTGCTGGTGAAATTACAGGCACAGGGTCTTCAGGGTATGTCTGAAGGTGACAGGTGCGGTGGCAGTGTCCATAAAATCTTTGCGATTTTATGCTCTGAATGGCATTGCGACTATTATGGATAGACATGTCGCTTACCACCAGGCGCACGACTTGTTCGTCGTGTCACTTGGTAAATAAAAAATTAAAAATTATTGTAGTAGTAAAAAAAGTAGAATCGCACGATAAAATTATATGTGTCGATCCAGGTAATAGTACATTACGACGGGATTTTTAAAGGGGTTAATTCTCGCACTAAACTGGTCAGGTGGGATAAAAGGTACAGTCGGTGCCCTCACTTATGTATCCACTATTGGTATTGAGTGCTATACAAGTAGTGGATACCTAAGTGAGGACACCGACTGTACACCGGGGGGAAGAGGGACTTGAAGCCTTAACTTCTAATCTAAAACGATATTAAAGAGATGTCGCTAGAATGCTCCAAATCCAGAAGGCGGATTAAATGAATTTGACAGCTGTCAAAGCTCACACGAACACGACGTATATACGACAGACGTACATAGATAAGACGTGCGATGACTGTTCCTTTTACCCCATCTTTTGGGGAATGGGAAACGTTGGCACATTTTCACGTTTTCGCCAAATATATTTTAAGTATTGAATTCAGCGTAACGATCGTAAAAAATAAAGCAAATAAACAAAGGCACATTTAAAATTCTTATAAAACTTCAGTATTTCCTCGAGTTCAAAACATTTGACTCAAAATAAGTATGTTTATCTTACTCCACTTGACTATACATATGCCAAAAGTGCTTGTGAAATTCATAAATGGTCATAAAGTGCCTGCGAACTGACACAAATTTCGATGTACAACACACGTAATATGACCGTAACTAAACTAATTCGCACCCTACAACTCATGTCCAATGATTATGAACACTCGTCTATTGTTCTTAAACACGTACATATATTGCAGCAGTATGAATGTTGGCAGATTGTAATGCAGTGCATGTTCATTTCGCAGGGCAACACGGTGACCCCCGTTGCGTCTACGTGCCGCCATCTACCGGGCAGACCTACTTCTCCTTTCGGATCGCGTATGCCAAATGCGGTACTAAACCAGGTAAGATTTATTAATAATTCAGAAAAAAACCGACCTCAAAAGTTAGCTTCTTCCTTTTCGCTGTGTTTTATTTTCATTGGAGATGTATCGGTGGAATGTTTTCTTCAATTTTGAAAGGAATACACAAAAAATACAGACAAATTGAGAACTACTTTTCCTACTTTTTTAAAAACCATTTTTTGCCATTTTTTGGTTGCCAAGGCCCAAATCCACTTTATTATCTTGCTGGCGGTAATTATCCCAGCGGGACCCTCGATCATAAGACCGTGGAAACCAACTCATTATAGAGTTTCATTTAGTTTAAAATTCATGATAAATATTATAACAATCTTGAGTATAAAAAGTAATAATAAAATAAGGAAATGGTGACCACCAGCGCGATAGAAGCGTGACTTGGAAAGTCGGGACTTTAATAAGAAATTATGTTATACAAAACATGGCTTACGTACTTAAGGATACGAGATAAAGCCGCTTCAAGTATTTGTTATGACTTAGATTATTATATGAAGAATTTCTAATGTGGATGTACAACAATTTCCGTAAATACTGTATATATATATTAATAGTATAACAAACATGATGTAACAGAAAAGTGTAGTGAAAATCTAGGAATGAAATATATATCTGACAGTGATCCTATATACAAATTATTGGACTAAAATGACAGGTTTTAATTAAGGCTGTTCGCGCTGAAAAATCGTTCATAATCCATGAATCTAACAGAGGTCCTTTATACAAATTAAGGTTTTAATTTCAGGGTTTTAAAGCGCAATCGCTTTATAAAATACGGTGATGTTTTCTCGATGTCTTAACATCGACTTTAATTAATTACTTCATTTGAGAGGTAATTTATTTTGATGCAATGGATTTTACGTTACATATTATTTACAATAATTCTACTATTGAGTACATCGCAAAAATATTATTGTAGAGCACTCATAATTTCATAGAATCACTGTCATACCCGGCCAAAGTTAAAAAAACATCCTAAAATTATTTCTAGCACCTTTCATAAACCATGAACGGTGCTAGGAATAATTTTAGGTTGTTTTTTTATTGTACTGCTTATTTAAATTATTAGATATAACGCCAAATTCATTTATATACACTTAGGTTTGTTAATTATGGCAACATCATTATCACAATACCTATCTTTTATTGTTTTGTCCAAATTGATAATTTTTATAATAAAAAAGTTTGTTCGGGTGTCAAAACATATATTTTTAAACGTGCTCCTAATTAAAAAATACTCAATATTTTTTAATATAAGTAACCACCAATCCATTTCACTCTATATATAAGTATACATTTCGATGCATACCTACTCAGCCACAGTCCACAATCTAATGTTGTTCAGAACTTGATCAGTAACGTAATTCTCTAAATCAAAATTAAATGTCGTCTTATGTATTGCTCTATTCTGCATCTCGTTCGATAATGAAAGGTAAGTAAATTCCTTAAATCAATGAACAATATAGACGTGTTTGTAAAAATATACTATAAGCGTCTGTTTTATATTTGCCAATCATCGTCAACAGTTTGGACCTGATGAATTCAGTATAAGAACTCTGGAATTAACCAGCCCACCTCGCAAGGAATGTCCGTCGACATTTTTTCTTCAGAACAGTAAATTGACGTGGAAAAGTGGACAGTGACGTGACAACATAGAAATGTAACAGTTATAGTAATTGCACGCTACTGCATTAAGTTAAGTGTCGCCAACACACGCAGCTTCGTGTTCAATGTGCGTGGTCTGTGGAAAACTGATTTACCCAGTGACATAAAAACCTGGGTAAATACACTAGCAATAGCACTTACGCAGATCACATGCTATTTGCTTGGCAAGGAAGTAAATAATGAAGAGATTCAGGCATTACTTTGCAGAAATCCATGCTAATAAAAATGGAAGTAAATTAATATGCTACTCCACGAACTCACTTTAAAAAAATAAAGTGCTTGAAAAAATATTCAATACAAGCTATTTTGCACGATTTAACCTTCACTGGGTTCGTGGAGTAGCAACTTAATTTACTACATTTTTATTTAAAAAAAAGTAAATACCAATGCGCATTGTTCCACGGTAGGAATTGAAAAGGTGGTAAATTTGTGAATTAAATAAAGAAAATGAAAATATTTTTCTGATCTAAATCGAGTCCTTAGGTTTCGCGATTGTTACACATAGGAAATGAAACTATTTTTTCGAATTTAATCGAGTATATTATTTTGTTTTTTCAAACAAACCATCGTTTCGGACCCTTCATAGGTCCCGTGATCATTTCCTATGTGTAACAATCGCGCAAACCTAAGAACTCGACACATAATACGTGTTAAGTGCTCTGATAGTGCATGTAACTCAAAAGTGACTCTAGGGTCGAATGACATGCACTAATGTGCAACACTCTATTTACGTTGATGTAAATGCAGGCTTCAATATTCAAATTATATATTTTTATTGCATAAAACCAGTTTACTATAGTATAATAACGAATATTGGAAGCAATTTTTATGATGTGTCTGTTTACATTTTGATCTCCAGCCAACTTCGCATAAGAAATATGCGAAGTTTCCAAGACTTTAGATAGTATTATTCTAAAATGTTAACGTCTTTTCGTCTACACCGCCTCTGGGTAAAGTAAAGGCCTATAAGTGGACTTTGTTCCACCGCCGAAAGACATTTACGGTTTGTGAAATATGCAAATTGCGCTTATTACGAATAGGATTTTGCGTTTGTAGAAAATACTGGAATTCCAGATTCGTTCCATACAAAGTTATAGGATAAACACGACAGAAACTTCATCAAAATTATATAGGGAAAGGCAGTTGACTATATTTAACCAAATTTCATGTGATACACAATACAATTTTTATTGTATTGTGTATAGATTGATTTATAATTAATTAATATAGATTTTAGTAGCTGTAGAGCTCCTTGTGAAAGAGTTCGTCCAGTGAAGTACTGCCACCTTACCTATTTCTGCCGCCAAGCAGTAGTGCGAGCATGAATGTTACTGCGTTCCGGTTTCGAAGGGTAAGGGAGCTGGTGAAATTACAGGCACATGGGACTTGCCAACTTATGTCTCAGGGTGACGGGCGCAGTGGCAGTGCCCCTCAGATCGTTGTGATTTAAAGCTCTGAGTGGAACTGCAACTGTTATCCGTCACCTGTCACTTAGTTTTTATAAAAAAAAGATTAATTTATATTTAATTAATATAGATTAATTTAAAATGTAAATTAATATTTCCTAGGTGAAATGTGCAACACTATTGCAATGGATAGTTTAATTACAATGATGTACGTGTAAGAGACTTATTTACGCTAAGTAAAGTTAGTTTTTCATCGTGATTCCTGCATCTATGTATTATGGCACGACAATATCTGAGAACTTAATGTAGGTTGGGGACAACAAAATAATTAATAAATGATCAAGAACGAATCATAGTTTGAAATTGACAACGCGTTCGTGTAGTACGAGTACGTAAGTTTTAAGCCACAGCTGAGCAAACGGTAATACCTTAGTTTATAAATCATCCGACCAAGTTTCAGTCCGTATGTAGCCCCAATATAACGGACGAGCTCAAGCGACCGCTCCTTCTGCGAATGTTGCGCGCACATTGTTTCTTAGAATCACCACCCGCCAGACTGCATAGCAAAATGCATAAGGCCGATTTTCCCACAGCAGCCGACTTGCAGACGCCTTCCTTTTGATGTCCACTATTATTGACTAACACTGAAGTTATCTTTAAAACAAAACCAATTGCGCAGATGCTGACAAAAAAAAATTATAAGTATACCTATTCTATGATCTTTTTGTGTAATTGTGGTTCTGTTCTCTTATAACATATTAATTTATATCGTTATAACATATAAATTTATATTACACATCAGTGTTATTGTAATTACGTTTCATCCTAAAACAACATATTGGCGCATTTAAAGTCCTCGCTGACCAGCAAACGTGAAATCAAATTTATGTTTTAATTGCAAAATAGGCATAATAATGGACCCTGAGTAAATCGTTCATCGGTTAAGAAGAATTGCTTAAGGCTCATATTTCTTTAAAAGGCTGATCCGGTGCAAGTTCTTTGAGATTTCCACTTTTTATGCAAGTTCGTTCATTTCTAGCAATAAGGATAAGATATTTAAACTAGTTTTAAGTTGTTTATTCTGTTTTTGAGCAATGATCATACATGAAAATATAGAATCAATGGATATTATATATGTAATTATTTACAATTAATGGCCATTGTTATCGTCGCTGTTAAATTCGTTGTTTGTTTCATAGGCACTTCTGAAATTATTTTAAATTTGCCTCCAATTACCAAGTTATTAGAAGATTGTACAATTAATCTTTATCTTGTTTCCTTTTAGATCTACATGGGCAGTTTTACGAGAATACAGTAGTTGTGCAATACGACAAGGATCTTTTAGAAGTGTGGGATGAAGCCAAAAGATTACGATGCGAGTGGTTCAACGACTACGAGAAGACTGCTTCTAAACCTCCAATGGTTATCGCTGATTTGGACGTCGTTCAGCTCGATTTTAGAGGTACGTAAATCAATTTAATTGCCATGAGCTTTTGAAGATCGATGTTAGATGTCAGTAACGAATTAGATTTATTTATCTTATGTGTTCACTGGACTGTTCCGAAATATTAAGGAAATTAAAAACTTATTTATTTAACTCCGAAGTTATGTATGGAATTTTAAAAGTAACCCAATATCGTTCTATTTACGAAACTATTTTTGCGCCCCTATGTAGCGGTGCCTAATAGCCGATAACCATGTAAAGACTGGTTCTAAAAACGGAACACATTTTTCTAAGAAATTTCGCATCTTGGTTGAACTTGTGCTGCTCTACTTTGTGCAAAATTACTCTATATAATCACAACAGAAACCTACAACCCATAGATTCACTGTATCCACTGTTTGTACCTATTTCCGCAAACATACGATAACAATATATTACGATAACCCAAAAAGTAATCAACATTTCTATTATAGAATATATATCAAAGTAAGTATATATTCAATTTGCTTTAGATAACCATCTACAACAAGCCACAAACAATAGCACGTACCTCCTAGACATTGAGTAATACAACATGAAACATATATATCACTATTGTTGCAGGCGACAACGTAGACTGTTGGATGGAGATCCAAGCCGGCAAAGGGCCATGGGCACCACCAGTTTCCGGCATCGTTCCTCTTGGTTCCACCCTAACATTGGTCGTCGCCATCAATGATTATAGAGGTAAATTCTACTAATTATTCATCGCAGTGCTTGCAGGTATCTATAACAGTAACTCAGTAAATGTGTGCTTTTTTCTTTATCTTGATTTATTTCAAAATATCGATGTTGTGGTATACACGTATACTTTCTACAAGTGTATACCACTATATATCTTTTGAAACATCACAGATTTACAGTTAGTACTTTCTGAACATTAATTGGTTTGACATATTCTTTTTTGCATTCATTGTATAACAAATATAAAGCATCAGTTGAGTATAAAATGCGACGAATAAATTTAACGTTTCATTATATTTAATATTTATACAGATTTCTCGTCGCCAATCATGTAAAAAACGTATTCAGTAATGCTTTGAGTTTCATCAAGATTCATTAATTTTTGTAACATAATTTATTATAGGATTTAATATAGTCGTTGTGAAACAATATAAAAAGTGTAAAATATTTCTCGTCATAAGGTCATAGTGGAACTAAACCTAAGACCACTTCGTACCATTCTCCCACGAGTTGTTAGTTCGTCAAATTTCACAGTTTGCTTTGGATGATACGAGTGTCGCATACTCTTCAACTATGGAGAGCACTTACCTACAAAGTATTTTCCTATACTTAAATAAAAAGAAATCGTAGACTGTGACTTCCTCCTACTCCACGTCATTTCTATTTTATTGTAAATAACTGATTCTTTGAAATTGGAAACGGATTTTTCAAGAAAAATTATGTAGGTATCCAAATAGTCACTACCTTCAGCGTTGCTGTCATTACCATACTATCAGACTTTCTCATTCACGACTCAACAATGACTATTTCGAAGAAACGTATTACAATCAGTACTATCAGTTATTCCTTATCTTTTCTCCAAGTATCAGCATTTATAAGTCCCAACGTTCACTCAGTTCAATGGAATTTTTTCCCAAACATTTAATGATCCATTGTAGCACAAAGTCTTCAACAAATTTCCGTTTCCGTCATAACTCCGAAACTCGTACTAACAGGGTAATAATGGCGTGCAAACAGCCGTTAACGGTATGGGGAATAGTAAAAAGTAAACTGGACAAATACGTATGGGTTTACTTAACGGGGCAAGTCGGTTGCCATGGAGACGTGCTTAACCGGGAGGAGTGATTTATAGTCAGTGGGTTAAGCAATGATACTGTGGACGTTTGAGAAATGCATCCAAGGACTAGAAGTTAACAAATGGCAGATAATCATTTGTATGGTTAACGTTAAGTATGCATAAACGCTCAATAACTCTCGCCCACTATCCACACAATTTTGTGTTATTGGCAATATTTCTTCGTGAATAATTACAAAATTATGAGTTAAATGTTTACGGCATAGATATTTTTTGTTCGTTTGAATTGATCTGTCGGTTTTCACGTGACAAAATAAAACTAAAGAAAAATCTTTTCTCCAAAAATTGCTGAAAATTTAATTAGTTTTAGTTGTGTAAGTGGAGTCCAAGAAGCTGTTTCAATGTATGGACGCCTCATTCAATGCATTTAGTCGTCCACGCAGAGGCTATGGGAAACGGCAGGACAAGAATGGTACCTAGCACTGTCGGAGCAAGTTTTTATGAAAACATGAGACACCTTCGTATGTAGCATTGCAGGATGATGGATGGTTTACTTTTACTACAGTATACTTACTTGCATTGTGCTGTTTATACGTTTGTTACTTTGGTAACAAAACCGTAGTTTTAAAAGACTTTTTAATAAAGGAGGTTCTTAATCCGTTAGTATTTTTTATGTGTGTATGTTGCACGATTAGTCAGACATTTGTGAACCGATTTTGATTACTCTTGTTGTAGTACTCTTGTTGTAGTCCCATTTAAATTTGAAGAAAACATTCCACCTCTAAGGGTGGCAAATCAGGATATAAATCCGGTTTATCGTGTTTCACGTATAAAACTTGGCACATATAATTCCAATGAAAATAAAATGTTATGGCAAATAGATGCAAGGAACTTTTCAATAGTATCATTACATTTTTATATTAAATAAATCTAGTGTAAAGTACTTATTTTGTGTTTGGGATCGTATACGATCCTTGACCTTGTTTAGTAACATATACATAGTACAGGGAAAACTTATACGCATACTTTTGAGGTCTAGTTTCCTTTTATAAAAAAGTTTTTGCTTCTACTGTAAGTACTTTAATTTTCAACTCTAAAATCTTTCACTAGGTGTTACTAGCCGCGACGAAAGTCAGTACAATGATGTATAACAAAAACATACAGGAGAAATTCAACGACTCGGACCCGTGACTCAGACGGTTAGAGCAAAACACTGCACCGTAGCTTTGCTATGGTGGTATGTGCAAGTCCCACCGGGTCGACGAAATTTGTTCTGTGTGTTCGATCTTTGTATTCACAATCATAACTAAAGTAACTTACTACTTTTGATGCGGAGGGTGAACTTACCGAATTGCAAAGTGTGTGGGTTTCCTGAGGATGTTACATCATTTGCTCATGTAGTGTGTTCGGACGGAGCCTATCAGGGCACGGTTATTTGGACAGGTTGGTTTCCATACATTTAATGCTGAATGGTTTCAATCTGTTTTGTCGGAGCCGACATGTAGTGCCGCGGAAATTTTGTATTCATGTTTGGTTAGGTAGTATTTTGATTTATCTGTCTGAAATTTATTAAGTGTTTTCTTGAGGCATCGTTTTTCTAATGGAGCTGACATGTTCAATAACGATCAAAGCCCTTAAATAAATAAATAGTAAAAAAAAAAAACAAAAAAAGAAGCAAAACTAGTGGTGTTATTTCACAAAAAAATCTCAATTAATATTTCAACTTTACTAACTTTCTAAGTAGAGAGTATACATCTAGTCGTAGCTATATGCCACAAAAATTTCAGTTTATTTTTTATTTTTGTCTGAGCTACATATTATGTTACATTTTGTTAATTACTTGGCCATTGTCCAACCTAAAAGAATAGTAGTAATGCACAAAAAAGATAGGCACAGGCAAACGTTAATTTAATTAAAGCCAAGCAATAAATAGCATGAATTCGTGCGTAAATGGTTCACGATTTGCTTTGACCAGATACAGAGGTTAGTTTCATTCGATTAGTTTGTTTTAATGTTTTTTTTAATCAAATATGTCTGTGGCGATTGCTATAAATATATATCAAGGTTGTAGATGCTTAATAAATTTATTGAAAGATTTGGTGCAAGTTGGTTCCTGAATTTGAGTTTATTTAGTTCTAATTTTGGGGCTGCGATCACCGCTCTGGGTCGTGGTTGGTTCAGCAAGTGTTCATTGCCGTCCAGCGGAGCAATACTACCAGTATAATGGGAACTTTTGAGCCGGATACGATACGGGGCGGGATGTTTTTAGGTTAGATTAGTTTTTTAGGATAAAAATCTCATATTTTAGTACCTATTGTATTTCTGCTACAATAATTTAGTTTTAAAGCGACATTTCGGTGTTGTCCGTATTTTTAACCCCCGACGCAAAAATCATTAGAAGTTTATGTCTATGTATCTGTGTTTGACTGTCTGTCTGTGGCATTCGTTGGTCCCAAACTGCTGGATTATTATTTAAATGCTTATGTCATAGTAGAACAAGGACAAGTAGGGCAACTCCGTACCCAATAACAGCGCGACTTGTGTGTGCGAGCAACCGTGTACGAGCGCACACATTCGCATAATAATGAAATGCGCGTTGGCCAGCCCGAATTCGAAACAATTGACGGGTGTCGTCAATTGTTTCACTCCAAATTGACCAGATTAACTTGATCTTTGCTATAATGGACAAAAATTGTAAAATTACATATTTAATATTTAATTACCCATGAAGTGTGATTCCGTCTGTTTTGTAATTAGATATTTTGCTGTTTATCCCCACACCACCGAATGGAACAGCCCCCTATTGTTAGATATATTAACTTTATTAGAATAAATACAGAATCTTTTTGGAATATACGGAGACATACAAACAGGTCAGTTATTGCCGCTGTACTATTTCAGCATTCTAATTTGTGATTTCAGCGCAAACGAGAGTTGATACTTAAAAGTGATTTTTGACTATTTGCCTAATGAGTTGCCAGGGATAGATAGCCCTTATTTCGTGTCTATTTCTGGGTTATGCAAATTTGTGCATCCGCACACGATACTCGGCGGCCGTGCACTTATACAGATAGAGCTGCGACGTTAAATATGGAGTTACCATACTGTTTTTATTCTACTATGCTTATGTAATAGGCATGGTTCCTAGTTATATTTGATGAATCTCTGTTCAGATGCTTAAAGATCACTAGCTCTTTTCCCAGTTAATGTAGGTCTCTCGGTCATAAAATGAACATTTCTTTTACGTCCACTTATCCGATCGAGTCGAAATTTTATATACTATGGAAAACCGATGATATTACAATTATTTATGGTAACATTGACCGAATGTTGCAACCAGGACAGTCAGATTACATCACTCCTTCAACTCAAAGCAGAACAATCGTGTTTGGGCTCATTTCATTGGTCTTTACGAGTAGGATTCCAGGATTCCAGGTGGTGACTTTTTGAAGTACACTGTTTTGGAGTTATTCCCATCTGATCACCTTAAACCAATCTCCTATTGGATCCGTTTTATTTTATATTATTTTCGATTCCCATCGGATCCCCTATGCAGCGAATCAAGAATAAATATTAGTATTTTATTCCCACTTGATGTCCTGGTATTTATAAGCTTATTCTTGGTAGATACTGTAGTACAGTCAACAAGAAAATGTATTTATATAATATCATTAACCTGCTACAACAAACATTTATTATAAAAAAATTATTGTCTATGATTATAACATTTGATCACGATTGCTCATTAAATGAATATTTCATTTTAAAACTTATTTTCCTCTTGCCTGTACTTATCTTACAAAAACGATCCGTTTTGAACTGCAAAATATAGAGAGGATCAGTTCGGATTTAAAATTGTCAGTGGATCAAGTAAGGGATCAGTAGTAATAAAACCTTTTTTGTATCGGGTATTTGTAAATTGTAACTTAATTAAATATATAGTTCTGTCTTATTTAGTGTCATACTTCTAATATAAATTTAAGACCTATCTACCTTATACCATTGACTCTTATCGTCTCTCAATCTCAGCTGGATTACTATTCCACGCACAAATCGCATATTTCTCAAGTTACTCTAGATGACAGCAACATTGGTACATACGAAAAAGTCACGTATTTGCCTAACGTTTATTGCGTTGCCAGAAAATACCGTTGTTAGTGAGGTATCACCTTCTCACTTGCCTCCATTTACATTGTAAACAATCTTTACTTAAGTGTCAACCGAAATAAAGGCTATACTAGCCACTTAAGAAGGCTATTGAGCCTTAATGTATGGAAGTATTGACTTCCATACATTTTGTACACACGTGAAGAGTCTTCGTGACCAAAGAATAATAATATTTAGCGAAATACACATGATATAGTCAATTAGCCTCAAGAGCAATTAACCTCTGGATGAATTTTAAATCTGTATTACGTTAATAAATTTCGTGCAGTTATTAGTAAGAAATCTAAAAACGGTTTTGTGTGTAATAGCTAAAGAAATGTGAATAGGAGTGTGTCAAGTAGAGTAGTACGTACCTAATACTGTGAAATAAAGTCTTATTGTGAAATTAATTATTATGTGATCTGATGACTCTATGTAAGCATTAAATATTAATTCTAATTACTTACAACCATCATCATCAGTATCAGCATCATCATCATCATCATCATCATCATCAACCTATTTATACGCCCCACTGCTGGGCACGGGTCTCTTCTCAGGCGTGGATTTCAGGCCACAATCCGCCACACTGGCCCAATGCAAGTTGAGGATTTCACACGTTTTCCAAGGGTTGTTAACCTTCTTCGACATGTAGGTTTCATCACGAATAAACATTTATAAAATTTATAAACATATATAAATGGTGTATTGGATACAATACATTGAATTGAAGTATAAAATCGAATATTAATTTAAAAACAGCATAATCTTTGCTTTAGTTATATTACTTATAAATTAATACATAGTTTGACAGGTAAGTACAATAATACTGTTTGTTATAAAAGTATTCATGACACTGAATTACTTAGTCTCATAATAAACGTTGTCTTAAATATTTTTACGACTTTCAGTGTAAACATTATAACTTTATAAATTGATTGTTGGTGGAAATAAAATATTTCTAAAATCGGAACATTGTAATCTGTATACTACATAACGATAACTTTTTATAACAAAAAACCGACTTCAAAAGTTTTATTGAAATCGGTTACCGTAAGGTGCGCGAAACCGGATTCATCCCCTAGTTTGCGACCCTTAGAGGTGGGATATTTTCTTCTAATTTAAATGGGACCAATGCTGAGGTACCCTTTTTCCAACAAAAAAAAAAAGAATCACCAAAATTTTCACATTGTTGTAAACCATAATTCCTATTTGTTGGCTGACCGCACAGCTTGCGTCTCTTAATGGAATGTTTGCCCATTTCCTTATTTACTTTGTTTTGTATGGTTTTGTAAGTGCCTTACCGATGCACTGATGAAATAATAATCCATCTCCGTAATGAGATTTATGGAAAGTTTGTTTAACACTTCATTCATGTTGTTCAAGTTACCTACTAATGGATGCTTGACAGTATATCAACTAGTAAGGTAAACATACTTAACTATATTTCTTCTTCTACGTTCATTTAAGTATTTACAATTTCTATGTCCCGCGGAGACGTGCGGTTAGGGCAATTTACAATCTGGGTCCCAAACTGTCTTTGGGAGATAAGTTTAAAGAGATTAACGTCCTTACACTAACGTCACAGTACATTTATGAAAATGTTATTTATATTAAGACAAATATATTTTTTTTATGAAAAATAGTGACAGACTTAACGTTCATACGAGGATAAAAATAAAAATAAACTGTTTCTTAACAATCGTTTTCATAAAGTCTCAAATTCATTTAAGGGGCAATGTATATGCTTCTAAAATTAAATTCCGATTGATATTCAAAATTAGCCACTTACTAAGCTTAAAACTATAGCGGAACAAAACTTTATACTAAAGGTTATTAATATTAGACAACTTCTGCGTACTTGGATGACAAAAATCCGTGGTAGTGACCCGTGTACCTCTTGCAGGTAGTCTCGATCTAAGATGTTTAAATTAGATATTATAATGGAAATGTATTCAAATGTATATTTATACAGAGCAAACCCTAGAGTTTCTTGCTCATTCTTCTCAGGGGAATCTGCCTCACGAATGAGCAGTAGAGCTTAATCAGTATGACGATTTGAAGTGTAATTTGCTTACCAATGAAATAAAGATTATTTGACTTTTGACTATGGCTCTACTTCGGGTTAGGTACATTGAAAAAATTAAGTTTTTAATTAATAGTATCTCAAGTACAACAACAAATTTAAATCTAATCATTTGATTTTCAGGTGAATTCGACATGCGAGTCAAGTCCTGTGCAGCTTCAGATGGCTCCGGACACGTAATACAGCTGTCAGACGAATATGGCTGCGTGTTGCGCCCTAAGATGATATCAAGGTTTGTTTGATTAATATTGGTTTTTCTTACTATCTTAATTTTCATGTACGTGTTTATTTTATGGGACTTCTCAATAACTTGATATAGGACACAGTTATCATCACTTTTAAATTAATTTAAGTATACAAACTACATTCATATATTCGTCTTCATCTGTAAACATTTTACTGGTCTTTAGGATTTATGCCCCATGTCAGCAGTTTTTTTATGAACTTAGAAGCTCTTATTAGCAGCAGAAATTACAGGGACACTTATAAAATTATGTCTCAGCATGGCGGGCGCAGTGGCAGTGCCCTCAGATCTTTGTGTGTGACACGCCTGGTGTCGCGTCGCTTACCACCAGGCGCACAACTTGTTCGAACCGCCACTTGGTATCAAAAAAAAAAAGTATTTTGATGAAAGTCTAAAAAATGAACTACTAAAAGAAAGTGTTTCATCTAAAAGAAGCTCATCAAAAAACTGAACTAAACATGGAAGGTTGTAAAGTCTGTCAAAAATTGAATTAAAAAATATTAAACACAATGTAGGCAAACATTGATGATGAAATGAAATGTTAATGTGACTGTAATGTCAAACGTAGCAACCAAACTCTACCGATAAAATTTTACGAAGTTAGGGTGAACCTTATATCTATTGTAAACAGGGTAATAAATTTAAAAGAACACTTCTCCCATTAAATAAGCACCAACACGTGGTGGTGACTAGTCTTTAGTAGATCAGACACTAATTGTATTTTCTTTTTTTTTAATTTCAGATTCCTCAAAGCAAAAGCAGCCGATGAAAGAGCTACAGTCATAACTTACGCATTTTTCCATGCGTTCAAGTTCCCTGACGCACTTAGTGTTCACATCAGATGCAAAGTTGAAATTTGCAGACATGGTTGCTTGGATCATTGTCAGCTTGCTGGTGTGTCACCTGCAAGACACGGCGCTTTGGACAGGAAAGATGATAGAACGCATCAGGATCATAACGATATCAAGTAAGTAGCAGCTGAAATTGCTTTATGTATTTCCGCCTTTAGGCTAGCGTAAACGTGTAGTCAACATACTTCTTGAAGCAATGCACTTTCTATTCGATCTATTTAGACAAGACTCTGACAACAATTTCACCAAATCTAGAAAATGGTTTAAAAAATCATGCTCTCTTCCGGTGCGGCGCGCACATCTGGCTTAATCATCTTTATATAATTTTCAGCGACTCCTCAGCCGACGACGGCGATCTTCAACTAACTCAAGAATCTCAACATCTTCCCTTAGAAGAAGCATTTGGCGACGAAGTCTCTGGGGATGCAGTACCTGCGCCTGCTCCGTTGCCTCAAAGAGCTCCTGCGCCAGTTGTGGAACCTAATACAGATCACATGAGCGCCGTTGAAGAACTAGTTGAAGCTCTAGCAAGGCCTTTCACTGTGAGTAACTCCTCTTTTAACAAAGGGTGTCGTACGTATAATTTTCCCAAATTCAAAGCAATGCCAATTTAGTGGTCTCCATTATCTGTTCTACACTTCTATTTCAACTTTTCTTTGTGCCAAGTAACACATTTAGTACCAACTGTGGGTAAGTTTGTTTTTTGTGTTCTCTGTTTAACAATTGCACAATGCACACAATTATAACAGTGAATATAAATATAAAAGCCCACAAGCGATCATTGCGCTTGATGCTGCTTCAAAATTGGAATATTAATTATATTTCCAGGACCGACCATCTGACCTAGGGGAACGAGAGAGATTCCCACACGGTCCTCGCAAGTTATCTAACGATGTCAAGCCAGAAGCCACGGGTTCGTTAGGAGACAATATCGTGCCCGCCAAACCACCGGGTCCTGCTGTTGCTGGCCCAAGGTAATAATATCTTAAAATTTCTTATTTTCAACATGAAACAGAACCTCTCTTATGAAAACGAGACAAGCAACACCTTGAATACCAAGATTCAAGGTTTTTTAAAATGTTGTAATAAATGGATAATTTATTTTTGTTTTACATATCGAGTTCTTAGGTTTTCTCAATTGTTATACATAGGAAATGAAACGATTTTTTTAGGATCTAATTTACGCCCCTTGGCCACAGCTAACTGAGTCAACCCTCACTCGAAATGTTGGTTTGTTTGAAGAAACGAACATACGCGATTTTTCATAAACACTTTAAAAAAAGAATGACTTTTGCAGTGGAACATTTTGTATTTCTAGAAATTTTAGGCGTAGAAGGATTATTTCAATCATTAATCATATGTATCAACACAAACATTTTTTACAATTGAGCCGCTCCAATTTCGAAAATATATTATAGCTGAAAGATCTTGATCGAAAACATTTAGTACGTGACATTGATAGTTTCATCGGGTTTATTTAGTAAAATCTTTCGAGTCGATGGAATGGATGGAATCACCTCTTAAACTATCGTGAGACAGATAACGTCATCATTAATCCTCATCAACATGTTTTCAAGTATCCGTAGGTATACGGTAAAATGTAAATTTTAAAGAGCAACAGTTTTAATACCTGTATCAATTGATACTACAATTACATTTAGCCTGATGTATCCACTGCTGGGCAAAGGTCTCCCCCTGATCCCTTCACGCGTCCCGATCCTGAGCTGACTGAACCGAAGCTCTATCGTAGGCGTCGAGTTTGTCAAGCCAACGCTTTCTTGTTACTATTCGAACATATTGTTTTTTGGTTTATAATTCAAAATGAATGTGTTTAAGGTCTCTTCGCAAGAGACGTACAGTACGAGAGGGGCGCTCCGCTGATGTTGGTGTGTCAGGCATCTACGAAGTTGTCTCCGAAGCTGACCTGGCGTTTGGACCTTCCAGGGAGTCTGTCACTGTATTCAGCGGAAGAATTCGGGAAGAGGTAAATTAGCAGTTTTCATCATTATTTACAGTAAATATCGTATTCGAAATGTGTGTATTTTATATGTTTAATAATCTTAAGACAGAATACTAAGAAACCGACCTCAAAAGTTCGTGGAATTAATTACATTTGCCAAGTTTTAATGAAATCGATCATCATCCCCTAGTTATTGACACCCTTGGAGTTGGAATATTTTCTTGAAATTTAAATGGGATCACTACTGAGGTACCGCCATTCTAACAAAAAAGAATCATCAAAATCGATTAACATATTATCGCGTAACATACATACAAAAGAAAACATTCGAATTGAGAACCTCATCCTTTTTGGAACTCGGTTAAAAAACTTATAAATTAAAATATAACATGAACTTTTGTGATAATTATTATCAAGTAACTGCTTAGTTTGTTAACGCATTTATTTATTATGTAAATATGATACAAGGGCATGACACAAGATTTAATATATAAGCTGGTTCCAGTAAGATCGATCCAAAGTCCTGTCAAGCTTCATTGGTTCGTGACTGTTTGTATTTATTTATCCACCAATACAAAACAGTGGCCTCCAAAAAGTCAATAAAACCGCCATCTGTAAACTAACAATTCGTCGAAAATAATTTAATGGGCTCAAATACAACAGTCCTGGTTAAGAAGATCAAGGAAAGTTACCATATTATTGTAATGTTATGGGATTTCCATGTTATACCAAATTTCATGTCGATCGAACAAGTGGAAATAAAATACATATTCATCTTAACAAGATCTTCGTAATCTTTCAACAGTGTTCACAATACATAGCTAAGACTGTATACAAAATGTATGAGTTCCATATCAAGTAGGTACCTTTGCGAGTTGCGAATTCATGAATATTTGCATATTTAACCGTCGTTGCAAATAGAGAGAAGTTGAGTAGCTTTCAGGTTAGTTTTCTCTACCTAATTTCGGTGGCAATTTTTATTATTTAGATATTCTAGAACATTAATATGAAGTATTACTAATATTCGAGTGTAGTATCATGAAATATTACTTAATATTTCACGATACCATATTTGAATACCCTTATTATATTAAATAACCCTATTAAATTAGCCCTCAAATAAAAAAAAAACGCTTTAAGATCAATCTACCTGCTTGGGAACAGACCCACAGATACACAGACAAAGGCTTCAAAATGCTTTACACTTATAACTGGGTAATTTTCAGGTTACTTTTCTTTACCTAATTTTCATTATTATTATTTAGTAGGTATCCAAATATGGTATCGTGAAATATTAAGTAATATTTCAGGATACTACACTCGAATATTAAGTAATACTTCATGTTAGCATACTAGAATATCTAAATAATAAAAATTGCCACTAAAATTAGGTAGAGAAAACTAACCTGAAAATTACCCCACTCACCTCTTTTTGCATCGACGTTAAAGATGAAAATATTCATTAATTCGCAACTCTCAAACGTACTTGATATGGAACTCATACATTTTGTATTGCCGTTCGTTGAACATTACGCACTTTCCTTTTTTACGCGAAACAAATGTCATTTTGCATATTGTGTTGTCATTTTATTTTAATGAAGATGGGCAGTACTTATGGAGATGAATTACCAAATAGATTTTTTCTCTACATTTATCGTCATAATCAGGTTGTGTACGGCATCTGCATGGGCGCAATATCGTTTGGCGCTCTGTTTGCGTCCGCAGCAGGTGCAGCGGCCGGCGCGGCCCTGGCCGCCGCCGTACTGCTGCAAAGGCTGCGCTCGCGCATGGCCGCGCATCCTCCTCCTACGCAAGGTACGTAAATTTGTTATTTCCCTAAAAACAGGAACTAAATAGAAAACTGTGCGAACAGGGGAAGAATATTCATTGTGGACGTACACATTTTCTACATTGTTCTCATCCTTATCGTACCGATGGCACACTATAATGCTTGCCATCAGTGAAAGGATTTGCCAATCGGCGTAAGGTACACACCGAATGTCGCCCAGGGTGCGCCAGATGTACAGGAAATGATACCAATGTTATCATTTACCAGACAGGCGAACACATGTCCAGGGCAATTTTGATAGTGGTGATAATGGTCGTGGTTGTGATTGTAGTTGCATTTGTGTTATTAATTATATTAATTTAACTTAATTAATATTTCTTCACAAACTCTGCGACTTCAAGTCTGCTAACTAACCTAATCTTTGTATGTGTAAAACGTCAAACGCACTGTTAGGTTCTAACAGCATTGCATAGACATTACGTGACTTTGATAGTTCAACTTTTTGCACCGTGGACGCCTGACGAGGAGGGAAATTGGATTGGGAAATGAACTTTTCTAAATTGGTCTCTGGTACTCATAGCACTAGGAATTCCTTAAATTTGAGATCAGGTAATTGGTGTGGTAGTCTGACACATAATTATTACTTTAGCACCACCACATGTTACAAATCTGAATGATAGCAGGCGTAGATTATATATAAAATTCCATACGTTGCCAGTAACAAAACATAACATGAATGTTTTGTAGATTTTAAGACTTTCGTGGTTATTCACTAAATGATTGTCACTAGTAACAGGTTTCTTACCACGGTATAACTTATATATATAT